GGGTGGTTGGGCGGGGCTAGTTCTTGTTAAAATGAGACTGACCATGGCAAACAACATGCACTCTAAGATATTAAATAAAGGGTGGGTGGGCGGGGTATTACTATTTTTTTTATAAATGATTTTGTAGCAAAAAGTAAAACTTAGCCCGGTCCACCCACCCATTTTCTCATTTTTTTTCTTCTGAAATAAGAAATAAATTTTATAGCAAATAGTATAAGAAAAACATTGCGATTAGTGCTTTTTCTCGTTTTTAACAGCCTACATTCTATTGCTTCCCATTTCCACTCTTAGAAAGAAAATATAGTACTTTCTAAGTTAATACTTATTTTGTCAGATGACATATCCTTTGAGAAAGTAGGAGGCGGGTGGGTGGGGTTAGTACTTGGTAAGATAACACTGATTTTGGCAAATGACATACCCTTTAACAAAGTAAAAGGTGGGTGGGCGGGGTTAGTACTTGCTAACATAAGTCTTGTTTGTCAAATGATATATCCTTTTTATTTATATTTGCTAAGATAAGACTTATTTTGGCAGATGACATATCCTCTGAGAAAGTAGGAGGCGAGTGGGTGGGATTAGTACTTAGTAAGATAAGACTAATTTTGGCAAATGACATACCCTCGAAGAAAGTAAAGGGTGGGTAGGCGGTGTCAATACTTGCTAACATAAGTCTTATTTTGGCAAATGACATATCCTCGGAGAAAGTAGGGGGCGGGTGGGTAGGGAAAAACTCAATTCAAAAATGCTGGATATGTTTCACTGCACTTTAGCTCCGAGGGAAGTTGTGCCGAAACAGCGTCCGACCAATTTTTTTAAATAATATCCAGTTTCTCCTGCTTATCTAGATCTCTAGAAAAAATAAATACAAAAATTTCTACTAATTCTACCAGTTGTCAGTTTTTTTAACATTTCTCCCCATTTTGAAGACTATTTTTTAAAGAGTTATAAAGATTTTGACTATTAAATTTCAATAATATTGTTACGTTGGACGGGTGATTGAAATCGGCGTGGGTTAAACCCAACAATTATTTCTTAATAACTCGAATTTACACAACTAACTATTGTAGCGATTATAAAGTAATCCTGGCACAACTTCTCTTGACTCAAGTAACTGAATGATCTCGTTCCCGAAAGTCACCTCCATTTAAACCCATATTCGCTTCTCGATGTTTCCCAATCGAGGTCTTTCTGAAATTCATCGCGACTTCCGCTTCTAGACCTTTCTTTCTTCCTTTAGCGAACGCTGCCCGAGTGACGTCATTGGCGATGACCAAAAGCTGTCGACGGCCCATAGGCGTCGTACCGGGGCGGCGCCGGCGTATGGGTTTATTTCGTAACGATATCATGAATCCTATATATTCTGTCCTTATTTATAAAGATTTCTAGGTCCAAAGATGCCTCAAATATACAATTTTTCTCCACTTTAATCAACTTAAGCACTTTCCACCAGTTTAGTCGAATACAACACTTGGATGGCAAATTTGACAAATCTGAAACGACCCAATCACTGTTCTGAATATAAATTTAATTTTTTTTTCGGTAGACTCCTCATTGTCTAAAGTTGAGGGAAGTCATTCTGAGAAAGTCATCATCATTAAAAATATAGCCAAATGTAAATGTTTTCAGACAGATATTATAGATAACAATTTTTATAAATTCAAACACAAAAAACTAGTGTGTATATTTTCTATTTTTCGAAATTATAGTTCACAGGAAGAAAAAAAAATAGAATACGGTTTGTGTATCATGTTGTCTTACACCGAGTGATCAAACAGGAGAGAAGAATCTCTGTGTTAACATACTATTATGAAGATCTGTAACTAAAATCGACGTGGTTTGTAAAACTTACACATTTACTCTTCAGTAAAACACAGCGAATAAATTTTGACGCAACTTAATTCGTACTCAGTAACCGACTCCTAGATTCTATTAAATTAACTGCTCCCGAAAGTGGCGCGTATTTAAACTCATACGTTCCTTTCTAGATAATGCGTGATCGAGGCTTTTCTGGAGTACCCATCGCGAGTTCCGCTTCCAGACTTTTCCTTAGAAGAACACCGCCTGGCTGCCGTCACCAATGATGAGTGATCCATCATCGCCGTACATAGTATATTTCGTAACAATATTTTCAAGACACAATCGTAAAAACACAAAAAATTAAAGCATAAAAATTATCTCGGATAGAACTAATTTTTGTAGCATGGTAGATGGAGGATAACAGAATAGTTATTTACATTATAAATGCGGTAGGTTACATTTTACAACGCGAAGATTTAATATTGAAACACGAGGCAAAGCCGAGTGTTTTAATAAATCTGAGCGTTGTAAAATACCTACCGCATGAATAATGTATGCAACTTTTTGGCCGATGACTTAGTGGTGCTTGTTTTCGTCAATTTTTACATTTTTTTAAATTGTGTGGAATTTGTAAGTAGGCTTTCCCTGCGTCAAACGTCAGATAAAATTAAAATCGTGACAGATAGTTCGATATGACTGCTGCTTATGCCACCAGATGGCGCTTTCCAAACTCAATAAAAAAATCAATTGCTATTATTTTAAAACATTTAATAGATACATTTATGCGGTATCTTATTTTGGTGAACACAAGCTTTGTTAATGATGAGATGTCAATTTTTTTAAGGGTTTTAAAACTCTGAAAATTTCTGTGTTTATTACCGCACTTAATTTGGTAAATGACAGTTCAATGTGTAAAAATCAAAATACCATGGCTATCTACGATACGTAAATGTCAGTTTTACAGTTGTCGAGGCCAAAAAATAGATAAATGTTATTTTATACGTAAAAGTAAAAAAAAATCTACATGATGTAAATATTTATACAGAATTTATTTATTAAAAGTACTTTGGATAAAATTCCAATATTGATTCATTTTCAGTTATTTTCACCTTCCTAATAAAAAATTGGTTTAAGGTTATTTAGACAGAACTTTCCTTGCCTTCGTAAAGTACAGTCAGACAAATAAAGAATGGAAAAATGATAAAACTTAATTTTGGAAATTTTATCTTCTTTATGATAACCCCTATAGGTTGAAATAAAGATATCTCTGGACTGTTAAAGTACACGTAAAAAAACATGCATCCAGTGGCGTAATACCCCATAGTCCCTCGAATCAAATTTTATAATTTTTTAAAGAGCTGGATTTGTCCGATTATACTTATAGCTTTCGACCAATTTTTTATTGTTCAAATTAAGAACCTCATTTTTTAGATTTGCTTATACAGGCTCACTCAAAAAAATTAATGAATCAGTCAATTTATTTTATCGAATAACTCAAGAATTGCAAAATTGAATAATCTGGAATCTCGCAGACGTTTTAAAGTTATTGTAAGCATGGTAAATTGTTAATCAAAATCTGTTTATTCCTCCCAAAAAATTGATGACGTCATCTCAAAATTTTGCCGAATAAATTCTACCCAGAATGTGTAAAATATGATGAGTTTTACTTGCATTTATATTTTTTAGATTTGCTTAAACACGTGGCTCAAAAAAATTAATGAATGAGTTAATTTTGTTGATTAAATCAGGAACAAGAAATAAACTCCACGTTCCAAATTTAAAATTTGACAACAATCGCTCCAGCACTTTCGGCTTTCGGAGATCTGGCTAATAAAAATCACACAGAAGGAAACGGAAGATCTACTTTGGCATACTCTAAGAATCATGAGAGAGAGAACTTTCCTCGCCCCTGAAGTAGGTACAGACTAATAAACTGTTTTATTCATTGAATATGAATGCATCGGTAAACCACAATTATAGGTTCATAGAGTTTTAGTCTTTTAGAGAGAGTTAATTCAACAAAATTTTAAATGACGTCATCAGGTTTTAATATGGGTATAAAAAGATATATGTATTTTGATTCAGCAAGGTTTACGATAATCTTAAAATATTTACAAAAGTCTGGATGCCTGGGACAAAAAATCAAGGTGGATTCATAAACCAAACATACCAGAATATGTTACATTTTAATAAAATTATAAAACTATAAAATTTAAGTAGCTTTTACCATGCAAAGTATTGCAGTGACATCATCACAATATTGTTGGGGATGACCAGACAAATTTTGGTTAGCATTTTTCCATTCACACGATATCCTTAAAATACTTTATATATTTGACAACAATCAGTCCAGTGGTATCGGAGATTATGTGTCTAATATATATCTACACGACGATTATCATAAATTTACTCTTCACTGGCTTTCTCACTGTTTATCATGATAAATCAAAGAGATACACAGTCTTTCAAGAGTATAGAACCGACTAAATATGTTGAACACTCTTTATATCTACAGAAAAGATTAAATTCAAGATCACTCCAAAGATTCTTTCTCCTATTGTGATCTGAATGATAGTTATTTAATATATGCAAATATTCTATGGACTGCAAAAATTCTCTTTGTCCACATAATTTCATTGTGCATTTTTATTAGCCTTTTACTCAAAGTGTCACTGATTTTTTCATAGACCAAACTATTTAAGCCAAGAAGATAATAGAATAGTGGTGTCAAAACGTGTCGACAGAGATGAAATACTATGGGAAGAGTCAATAAAGAATATCTATGAAATAAGAAGAACCGCAAAGAGGAGAAAAGGGAGACAGACGAAGACTTGAAACTAGCAAATACGAAAAATTGGAGAAAAGCGAGAAAAAACGATGAAAAAAAATCTATCACGGGACTGCAAAGAGTGGAAGAAATGTATTAAGAGTTAAAAATATGTCCTCCGACACCTTTCAAGGGTACAACAAGATAGTGGAGGAGAAGAAGAACAAATAAAGGGAAAAATCGGGAAACTTCCAGATCCATATTGCCCACAAGAGGTTTTACGTTACTTGAATTAAAATTAAATTCTAATTAGACATCAGTTTCGCCTATATTGATACTCTGAATGATCTCTAGCATGAATATACAACAAAAATTTTTACCCAAATAGAAGGATTTATTTTAAAAAGAGTGAGTAGAATTTATACATAAGGTGAAAAGTACTTTTATTGAACAACAATTAATACATGGAATAGTATTGTATTTTTGTATCTTTTTACATTTTAATTGTATTTAAACATGTTAAATTGAAAAGTTACCTTATAGAGTCTTACTGTTCTGATTATTTTGACTTGGCTGGAATCTGCTTTCGAACATTAATCTCGAATTCTAAAGTGATTAGTTACCACTGCTTAATATAATTCTTAGGGTCAACAAAATTTCATTTTCTGTCGAGAATCTCACTGCAGTCTTTAATTCTTCATTCCATATTCATGTCTGTGTCTAAAAAATCGAACTCTGTTAAAACAACAACGCCAAGAATTTCCACTCTTACCCACCTTACATATTTTATTCACCTCGACTCAGTATGCAAATATGCTTCTATTTGCTTTTGTTTAACCTGTACTGATTAGACGCGAGATAATAGAGCCATAAAAATATTAACACCTTCATAACGAGTAAACATAAATCATTCTCGCTAATTATTGACCACATCCAATAACATAAATGCAAATATGCCCAGCGAGAAGCAACAAGATGCTAAAACACAACTTCCCTGCCAGCAGCTCTGGAAATAACTCCCAATTTTTCATCCACAACACCATAAAAAAAAACAACACCAGTAACCTCCGGCATGGCGCCAAAATCGGCTTTGTTCCGTCGATGCCGTCAAAAGCTCCTCATCCTCCACAAAAACTTGAAACTTAAACCAATACCTGTAGGGATTTGTGCCAAATTTTAAATCGAATCGATAAATCTCATGATGAGCTTTTCGCTCGCACACATCCCATATTAACGGAAAGCAGCCCAGTTGACAGCTTCATAAACACATCGACCAGTTTGCGCAGACTGAAAAAATAAAAGACATATCGCGCGTCGGCGGATTCCTTTGTGTTGGAGGAAAATTATCCTTGGTTCGAGGGTTTCAGGACGAAGTCCTGGCGAAGTGTAGCGACTAGAAAGCAGGTGTCCAGTGCTTATGCGCGAACCTCTGCAGGATCGGTAATCGCTATCAGATATGTACCATGTCGCCGATGGCTTTACTTCAGTCGTCTTGCCGCCTCCGACGTCGACAGCCGCCCCCGATCAGCGCTACGTCTACAACGTGACAGCCGGCACAGCACACAGGTTGGTGGAAAATTTTTCTTGATGATGGAAGCAGGAAGCCGGCGAAAGCTCAGTCTGAAAAGAGAAAAAGCAATTCTCAGAGCTTTTACAAGCTTTTACACAATCCACTAATATTTACACGAGATAGCGTCTTAGGAAATTGGCAATCGAGTCCTGTCAAAAGCTCCTCCGAATTTTTATCAGAGCGTCTTATCACAGCTTGCGCTCAGAGTTTTGACGAGTGTGATAACAGCCACGTTCACACTATCAGATCAAAATCGGTGCCTATAAGAGAAAATTTTTTTGTTGCTGTTTGTTTGGAATTTTAATCGACGTGCGGCATGTAATGCCACGAAAAAGACTGAGTGTTCGTACTAAAAATAATAATCTTCCTGTTTCTTTAGTCATATTTAGCTTAAGTTTATTTTTACAAAACGTCTATTAATACTCTAAAATTACCCATGTTAAGTTCGTAGAAGTTAAAATTTATTGTTACACACTCTTCCCGAAATATCCGTTGCGCACGAAAAAGTGACGCAGAGCGTTTTGACTTCCCGAGAGGGAGGTTATTGCAATGAGAAAAAAATTTCGATATCGAAATTTCAACTAATCTTCACCTTTTAAACTCACTTGAACAGGTTCATGTAGTTTCCGCATGATGTCTCTGGCACCAAATTTGGTGCGTCGCAAACTCATTTTTACAGTAGAGACATAATTATATTTTGTGTCACAAGATACAGACGTGTCAGATCTATATACTAAATTTTAGAGATATAAATATAAATCTCTTAATTCTTAGATGATTATCATACATCGTTAATTAAATTTTAATTATGACGCTTTGGGGAAGTTCCCAGACCGAGTGTTAACTCGCGCCGAGACTCCATTTTGACTTTTGCCACCTACCCGCATAATATTTATTTTTCATTCACTATTTATACACTAATTAAACCTCTTTATACCCCACAAAAGGAGCTTTTTCCCCAAAGCTCGTGGAAAAATTTAATTCGCCGTGGGATCAAAGCTCCCGCCAGTAACTCACAAATGGTCTCAACAAACACGTAAAAATGCAAATTAATTTCTCGCATGACGTCCCCAAATTGTTAACAGTTAAATAATCTTCCCACAAAGCTCCGAATTTTCACCATGATCGATTCAATCAAATGCATATTCTGTGGAAAATAGCGGCCGGGCACGAGGTGAAGTCCCGAGGTGGTAAGGGATTGCGATCAAATATGCAATAGATCCGTTGACCTTTCTGCGGAAAAGCTCTATTTATTTGACATAAAACAAGTGTTGCAAGTTTCATGTTGTTTGACGATTGAGTATGCAATATTTATTTGGTGTGGTGTGGTCGGAGCTTTCTTGGATTATATACGTGTTAGCGCGGTGGTGAGATCGATGGAAATTTGTACAAAGCTGAGGGGCTGTTTAATGGTGACATAGGAAAGCTTGGCGTGGTAAAAAAGATGCGGAAGGCATCCTATCGCCAGCTCCGCGGACTATTAATTCCCTCTGGCTCCCACCTTTGACCTGTGACCCTTTCACGCCTGTGTCTTCCCTAGCTTGGAGCTTGAATCAATTTATTGTGGGTGTTGATTTCTGCTTACTACAAACTTTGTGAGGAAAAAATCAAGCCGCTAGCTTTTTCATAATTATGTACACATTTACTTAGTGTGGGTGTATTAAGGATAATAGATTTTCGGTTTTGTACTTCCCGACCTACAGCTAATAGAAGGAACTCATTAGGATATTTTCTTGGCGTTTCACAACCCGTTGAGTACGAACATGTAGTTTTACAAATGTGCTAAAACGGCACTACAATTTGTATATACTTTCTTGACAAAAAACTGATGACGTCGACTATATTACAGCGAATGGAGGATGTACATAGGACGTCAAATGTTTAGAATTTACGAAATATAATAAGTGGTCTGTTATGTTAAAATCAGTCATTTGTTTTCACATAATGTAATTTAAAATTTTATTATAATTTCTTTTGTAATCTGGCTGTTGTTTTAACTGTCTGAATGCCATTATAAAAATTTTAATCCCTTGATCTTAAAGTGATAAGATTTATTATTACTGAAAAAAATTCGTTTAATAATTAAATGTGACTCAGATTAGATCTAGAGCGTTCTTATGGTTATTGAATTTATAAAAAGAAAATTCTTCTGTAAGCAGTACGCCAAATGGTATTCTGATACACAGACGATTCACAATAGCGTACACACATTTTTTTTTTTTACAATTAGATCACTTCTAGAATCGATTAGTATACATTCCGAAACTGTGTTTCTTTATTTGCTCTTTTCCTTATTTGCGTTTTAAATAGAGCACAACGTATCATACAAATTTCTTCAATTTTCTGAGAACGGAATATTAGAATTATGTAAACGCTGTTGTTCTTAGTTTAAAAGAAAAATAGTAGTAGTAGTACACAGCACTTTGGCACTGGATCGCAACTTTTTTATCAGTGCCAACTTAAGCTTTTTGTAACTAGGAGCTTTAACTTCTAGTTTCTATTGTACAGCATATTGTACTTTTATTTTATTATTTGGGGCAAGGAATTCGTCGAGTTATCTCCCTGAAATCTATAAAATGAATATACAAAGTATTTTGTTATATAAACAAATACATTACCGATGTAGGTGTTCTTAAAAAGTATTAATCAAGTTGTGCCATAGAGGGTGAGTCACAAAGCGCGCGGCTCTAAATTACCATTTCATTAGTAATTAGAGCTAGAAAAAGAAGTCTAAGACTAATGTTGTTTGAGTACCAGTAAAATTATTTGCGAGTATATAGAGTGTTTTGTTTTTGAGGCATAGCAACTTGGTGTTTTTTTTTTAATAACATTCTACATATTTTCACACATACTCATTAGCCTCTTCCTAGGCTTTATAACCACCATACTTTATTTTTGAAATGCCAATGCCACGTTGCCATGTCACTCAGTTTTCTTGATTTTTTAGCAATGCAAGGGTTTAACAAAAAAATCGTAGTAATGTTATTTTTAAGTTCTGTATTGCAATATTTTATGCAGAGATAAACACAGCTATGAACTTTATTGTGATATCAAATAAATCAAATTTTAATATACAGAGTGTTTATCAAAAATCGAAAACGTTATAATTTTCAAATATTGATAATTCATTTTTTTTCAAATAGGATACCCTGTACTTTATTACTTCATCTTACTCTAGTTTTGTTCTGCTTTTTTCAATATGTCAATGTTTCTCTCAAAAAAGTAAAACACTGAAATAGCCATCAACTTTAAATATAGATAATTAGATACTAAGAAAAAACAGCATAAAATGCAATAATAAAATACACGATGTTTTTTTGAAAACATGAAATATCTTTTACTGAAAATGGTAATATTTTTTACATACACCCTGTATATTAAGGGTCAATTTTATTTATACCTTAACGGGGGGGGGGGGGGGGGGTGCCTTTTTATTTCCCCACAAAATATTATAATTTATAATACAAATTTTAAAAATAGCGCTATTATGATTTTATTGTGAACCTTCCCATTACTAAATTGCTAAAAAAAAAATTGAAAATCGTAGCAACGTCGCATCGGAATTTCAAAAATAAACTAATTATAAAGCGTAAGAAGAGGTCATTCAAAATATGTAAAAATATATACGACATTTCATTTTAAAAACTAAGAGATATAAAGGAGAGCACTTTTTGTGACTCACTCTGTATGGACTTCCCTCTTTATGTCGAAAACAATGGCGTTCATAAAATCTATATTTGAATCTCAAAGGAGTGTCTTCAAGTCTAATTAAGTTGATGCTCCTACTTCTGAATTCAAATGATTACTAGTCAAAGTCTAAGTGAAAGACTACGACTGAACGTGTTCTTCTCATAGTGTTTCTACTCTACACGTAATTCAGGGTCGCCAGATTTTTGTAGGTAGGTAATGTGTATTTCTTAACAATATAAAAATAAAATAAATATAAAGCGTCTGAAATTGTGTGCTCCCGTCGTGACGCCAACGCTAAAGACGTGTTGCATACACTACATATGGAAATTAGATGTCATTCTTAAAGCTACAAACGTTGATGTTCGCAAAAAGCTGGTGCCCCAATAAAATTTTTACAACTTCTTGGATATGTTTATGTATGTCTCTATTTACAACAATTGTTCAAAAAATCACACAAATTATATGAATTTGGTATTAAATGTTTTAATAGCTGTTTATTAATTATACAGAGTGACAAAACTCCGCGGCCTTATATCTTGAAAACGAATAAAAATATCGAAATTTTGTAAACGCTATTATTTTTAGCTTGAAGGGATACATCTAGTCATAGACTCTCAGAAATTTTGGATTACGTGACTGCCTGCCAAAATTTAATTAATTTAATTTTTTTATTGTGAAAAATATTTATGATGTAAATTAGCTCGGCAATAGAAACGATACTCGGTGACCAGCTAACAGTCCAGATTTAACTCCCTTAGATTTATTTTTGTGGTAATACATACAAATTTGGCATATTTGCGACTATTGCAGGATTTAGAAGCTAAAAAAAATAATTGTGTTTAAATAACTGTTTTCGAAACATATCTTTCTAGTTGTCTCTAAAATAAAGTGGAACTGCTTTATTTCGACCAGCTTTAATTTTTTTGCAATGTACGAAATTAAGCTTCTCTTTTCAAGCTAAAAGCGACGAGGCTTACAAAATTTCAATATCGCTCTCCATTTTCAGAGCTTTATTTGAGATACTGTGTATACATTCAGTAGTATTACAACATATACAAATTTTATCAAGTTCAAAATTGTAATCGAAATCAAAATATGCATCCAACAAAGTAACGAATTGCTATAAACTTCAAGTAAAATATCACTACCAATGCTCAACTGTGTAGTATAGACTATTTTATATAAACGTGGTTTAAATGATCATTACCGAAGCATTTGCTCAATCCCAGATTAAGTCTTGAAGAAAATTTGAAAGCTTTAGTGTCCTTAGAGATTTTTTAAAAGTAACAATCCATTTTTTTCACTCTTTTGAGGAGAAATTGTTAACGGTTATTCAAATTTCCTCTGACGACATCCTGACGGATCCGCATCTCTAAACGACATTTGCTCATTCATAGAAGACTTCCATTTTTTCATTTTCCATGAAATCTGGTTTTTACCATCAATCGCTTACTATCAACACACACCATTTAATTTCTGCGCACGTTTTAATACTTCTTTTCCTAGAATTGTTTTGATTTAAACTTATAGTAAACATTCGTGGTTGCAATTTTCCAACCGACACAAGTTTGATCGCTTATGCAAATAATTAACATCCACCTTATTATCAGCTGTTAAGCAACACCAAAAAACATGTTTGTGCATACTTATAGCATTTAACAACACGCAAACAACACCATCACACTACACGCTCCCTTAATGAAATTATTTTAATTAAAATAAATAATGCTGGTCGTAGTTTTTAACAGAGCTTAGTACAAAAACGGATATAAAAACATTACGACGAAATTCCGTTACGCCGACCATGCAGGCCCAATTTAAATAAAATTTCCCAGAAACTTAGTTGCTCACACAAACTTTTATTTTAAATGACGCACTGATGCCATAAACGGATTTTACGTAGAGTACCAACTGTTGTGAACTCCATGCATTTATAAGCTAATTCGACCAGCTTTTAGAGGGCTTTTAAAATTCATCTTTTATTAGATTTTGAAAAACTGCAAGATAAAATAAAGGGTAATTCTGTTCTGCTCAAAGTAAACTCATTTGACGGACTCACGTTAAACAAAGTAAACCGCAGAGTGTCACCGCTGTTATTCATGGGAATAATTAATGTTTTTGTGCAAGTGGCGTCAAAGCTTTAAATAAATTCGAAGAATGGTTCAAACGTTTGATAGTTTTCAGTTTCTCTATGTTCACTCGTCGATTGTCTTCTTCGTTCACCTGTTTGCTTATTTACCAACGTATTTATAGCAACTCTGAAATCATCTTCAATTTATTATGGTGGTAATCGCCATTGTTTGATTGTTTGACTGTTTGCTTTCTGATTTCTGAACCTAGATATAAATATTTTACCCGGCTATATTTATAAAAGTAATTTTAACGTGTCACGCACAGTAGCATTTTTGAAATCGACCCATTAAAATAATTACCTTCCTGAAATTTGATTTATATTATATATGGTAAGTAGCGTATCGTGTATATTTTGATTAAAACTTCCACTAGCTTTAATTTATTTGGAACCGTCGTTTCAATCCACAAGTAGTTACCCCTAGAAATGGGTACCTTTTTTATTTTTATAAACTTTTTATAACTACCACTTTTCAGAACTACAAGGTTGAGATCGTAGAAGTTTCATGGTATGTTTCCCTCGAGGAAAATTTATATTTTTAAGGTGTTGAAATTATCCCATATTGTAAAAAGAGATCAAATTATTTACAAACAACTTCTTTTGTCTTTGTTTTCTTCTCTAGGGGAGAATATAGTATAGCATTTTATTATTTATATTTGGTGTTTATTTTTGTGATTATTATTATTATTATTAATACTATTATTATGTCAGTGATGGTCAACAGGCAATAGCCCAATTACTGACCACCTTAGCAAAATATATGACCAACAGCTGAACCCACGAAGGCAAAGTTAAACAGACTGAATGTAGCTACATATACAAAGAAAAAACCTATTTATTTAAATATATCAAATGCATTCTGTTCCGAATTGTATAAAGTACACATCTCGTATATAGGTGAGTGTTTTACAACGTTTAAGCGAGGAGTAGGCAAATAGAAGCAATCATGAGAACGAGATGACAATCTGGGGACAAGCAAATATAATCGACTCAAAAGATCCGGACAATCAATATGAAAATGAACCAACTTTTTTAGAAAATTCAACGATGCAATAGTCCGTCTGCAATGTAAATCTCTAAACCCAAACTTATTTAAAAGAGTAATATGGGACGAACCCCTTGGTGGATAAACACCATCCGCCCTAAAAGCTAAGTACTTCAAAAAACGTCGTTGAATCTTCTCCAATGTGTCTATATGAATCCGAGAAAATGGAGACCAAACAGCACTTGCATATTCAAGCTTGGATCGCACATAAGCAAAATATAAAATTTTCAAACAAAGTCACTAAAACTACTGCCACATCTTAGTATAAAACCGAGTGATTTGAGAGCATTGGCACATATATTATTTATGTGATTTACAAAAGAGAGTTTGGAATCAAAAGTGACTCCCAAATCACAGAAAGAATCAACTCTAGTCAAAATGGTGTTATTGAGATCATAGGGATACAAGGTTTGGATATTTTTGTTAGTAAATGACATAATAAAGCATTTGTCAAAATTTACCGGGAGAAGGTTACAATTGCTCCAACATAGAAATTTCTGCAGATCATCTTGTAACATCCGGCAGTCATTAATACTCGAAACAGTTCTAAAAATTTTTAAATCATCCGCGTACATAAGAATGTTTGAACTAATACTCTTTGCGATGTCATTTATGTAAATCACGAACAAAAGAGGTCCAAGAAACGAACCCTGAGGCACTCCAGACAAGACAGAAATACTATCTGACACATGACCATTATATTTAACGCACTGAGTCCTATTGGATAAATACGACTTAAATAATGAAAGTAATGAAGCAGAAAACCCAAAATTACTTAATTTAACCAGCAAAACATCATGATTAAGTTTGTCGAAGGCCTTGGAAAAATCAGTATAGGCCACGTCAACCTGAAGCATAGCATCAAAGCTTTCTGAAACAAACTGTGTGAATACAGAGAGGTTAGATATGGTGGAACGGTTACTTACAAATCCATGTTGACAATCAGATATTTTACTACGAACATTAAATAACAAAAATTTATGTAAAACAAATTCAAAAACTTTGACAAAGTTACAAATTAGCGAAATGGGCCTGTAATTCTCAATTGTATTTCTACTCCCTTTCTTAAAAATTGGAGAAATAATAGAATGTTTCCAGATATCGGGAAAGATGGCAGAATTTATTATTAAATTAAAGATGACTGATAAGGGATGAGAAAGCACCGAAGCACAATCAGATAATAAAAAACCCGGAATATTATCGTGACCACTCGTTAAGTTACACTTAATTTTTTTTAGCGCTTTAAACACATCTGCTTCACTTATCGTGTTGAATTGTATAAGATCATTGTAAGACTCACATACGAATTCATTCAAATTTGTGGCTTTACAGTCAGTGTAACCTGAACTAAAATGGGTTGCAAATGCATTTACTATATCTGCAGGATTACAGAGTACCTTGTTATTATAACTCATTTGGGACGGTATACCCCCTTGTTTTTTAAATCTGCTTATATGTGTCCAGAATTTATTAGGATTGGCTTTTATGTTATTTTCCAAATCGCAGATGTAATCACGATAGGCAATTTTGACATCACGTTTTATTTCGGAACGTACAGATTTGAAATTCAAAAGATCCTCTAAACTTTTACTTCGTTTATACCTAGACCAAAGTTTCCATTTAAATTTGATTTTATTAATAATGTCAAATGTGAACCAAGGCGGTTATACCATAATAGTCTTAAGATTGCAGCAGAAAAATCTTTCATTGAATAAACAAAATAGATGACTGAAGCATCTGATTAACGAGCGCACAATTTGAAATTTTCTCTGAACACAGAGTAATAAATAATGCAGAAATTCGGTTTATGTGTGTGAGTTTAATTGCCGGATTTGTTTTCATTAATATAATAGCAAATAATTGATATTTCAGCTCTATATTAAAACTAACAACACTCGCATGATTAAATTTAACATCGAAAACATTCAACAAGTGTCCCATTCCACGCGCTTATTCAAGTTTAAGATTAAAAAAAAACAAAAGTATTGGCTCTTTATGCCGTTTAATGGCACTTAATTTCATTTCCGATAAAACCAAGAGAAGGATGAACCGTTTAAAATGCAATCGCTAGAGAAGTATTTAAAGAGCAGTCCGATTTTCTAAAACACAGTAGCGCCCCATAAAACCATTTTCAATGTTACGGTCAAGTACTGGCTGAAAATAACATTTTATCCCATGTGAGTGTAAATCAAACGCCGTGGCAGCCCATAACAATCGATATCATATTTATAGTTCTTCCAACCTTTACGGAAAGTATCGTATCGTGTTGTAGCCCATCAAATTTGATTTGATTTTATGCTTGTTGAATACAAATTTTCCTTATGTATGCACCTAGCTTTTCGTAGGTTGTAAGAAACGTCGACAGTGGGAATTTATGTATCGTATCAATTCACTGTTACGGTTAGGAGTGTGCAGCTTATTAACCATAAACACGTCAAATGGACACTTGAATTTTAACAGTGTAGCATTAAGCGGTAATTTTTATTCGTGTTTTACGCCGCCAATTCCCACGCTGTTCGATTGCTGCCGCCGACAAATGCGAAATGTTTATCAAAGCCGTAATAACTTTCCTAAAATAGCGAAAATATGTTGACCGGCGTGAACTTAAAATCGACGCTTTTGCCGTTCCAACTTTCAAGTGTTGTATATTTGCGAGACTCTTACAAGAAACTTCTAAGTACTTACATTATTTATGGCGAGATCTTTTCACATAACTGGTGAGAAAACAACATAACTACTTAAAAATGAGGTGCGGGATAAATAGCACCTGTAGCTTTAGCTGAATGCGGCACTTGAATATGTTAAAAGGTGCGTAAGGTGTAGAAACATTTAATAAAGTTTTTCTTGTTTTAGGACTCCTTTTTGTATTCATAGAGACCGTTCATAACTTGGCGGAAGTAAAAATGAATACTGCTGAAAATACACAAAATTTGATTCGAGAATTGTAAACAAACACCAAATATGGATCTTTGAATCGGTGGTAACACACCTGCATATGCCTCGAGCAAAATAGGAAACGTATCCCTCACAGTTGATTTACATTCTAGCTTGAAAAGCAGGACTTGTTGTTCCAGCACCGGGATGTTATTACCTAAAGGCACGATTACACGTTCGCAATTTTTGCAAGCCTAACTTGATAAATAATAAATCAAATAGGCCGCGTTTACATTTTCCTTTGCATTAAAAACCAATCATCTCCCAGTCAATAACAATTTAAACTAACTAACCATCGAGGTTAATTTAACACTCATATTCCAGTGGATAAAATATACAGCTTATACAAGGGAAAACACTTTCAGGTTGAACTAAACGAATTTTGTATGTAGGTATATAAATACACACATAATAACTATATAAATGAATTATTATAAAGAAAATAAGTTCTTAATTTTTTTTAGGAAATAGTTGCATTCAAGGTTGTTTAAAGTCATTAACGTGATTTCTGTTCGATATAGAATGTTTAATGCAAAACTTACTTTACGTTCTAATTTTCATATTTAGATCTACAGTTTAATATTAAGATAATATAGATAAGTATGTCATATGTTACACAAGTACTTTTAAGACATCTATAGACTAAAATTTGTGAAGTAAATTACAATGCTTTTATTTAATAGATTCTAATAATAGGGTGTGTTATAAGCATAAACATAAACTTTTATTTTTAGACAGAACTTCCTTCGTCCCTTAAAAAATGCCTTCGAACAAATCTAGTTTTTTCAAAAAATTATAAAATTTGACTTTGCAAAATTTTATTTATACTTATTATCACCCCTACAAGCAAAAAATATAGATAATACGAGATATCGACTGTATGAAACACGTGGAAAATATTGTACAAAAAGTTGACCGATAAAAATTAAGGTGGATTCATAAACCATGAGTAAAAGAGTATATTATATTCTAAAATTTAGGTAACTTTTACTATGCAAAATGATTAAGTTTTTGGTGGGGAGGGCTAAACAAATGTTAGTGATACATGAGATTCCATTTTAATGTAACACATTTTACTGCAATCGAGTCCATCGGGCGATTTGCTACTTTAACGTTTTCTCGACGTTTCATGACTCCTAGAGTACGAAAAAAGTGATCTCCTGTTTACGTATAGGCAGACGTCTAACTGTCTATTGTCTGTGTCAATTTTAATTAAACATATAATCTCCGAAACTACTAGACCGATTGTTGTCAAATTTTGCCTGTATATTGGGAATATCATGTATATGATAAAACGCTAACCAAAATTTGGCTAATCATCCCCACCAAGAATTTGATGACATCATCTCAAAACATTCTGTATTCAAATAATTTAAATGTTATACAGTAACATAGACATCCAGATTTTCGCAAAAACAAACAAATTGTATGATTACCTTTTATATTAGTGTCTCCTTTACACTATTTTTTTGAAAATACTGTAACGTTGCGCCCGCCTATATTTAACAATAATAAAATAAGTGTTATTTTACTATATTGTAGCGTATATATACCGTGACATCAACAAAAAATTCAACAACAAGAAAACCGTTCTCATTTACGGTTCATTGGGGTAATTAAAAATTTTATAGACACCACTCAGAGTATTAAAGAGAGATTTGCTTTGAGTGCGAATGAAATAAACCCTTAAAACAGACAGAGTCAAATATAGCCGCACAACAAGCTATAGGATTCTACGGAAGATCAACGAATTGCGTTCGACAATCAGAACTAATCAGACTGTGTCTATAAAAAAATTTACAACGGAGTTACGTAATTAATTAACTTTGTGGGGGAACTTAACATTATTTTTTAAGATCGTTTAAAGAAAAATGCTAATTTTAAGGGGGAATTTGGAACGAGTTTTCTGATTTCATGCTTGCTGTTGATCCAGAAAAAATTAAAGCTGAAATCACTGAAATCAGATTTTTTAATCAAGGTTTACCGCATTTTCTCGAAAATTGAAAAATATATTAAGGTCGCGCTATCCTATATTTAATAATAATAAAATATGATTACATAATAATTATCAAAATAACAGCTCCTCATCCAAAACAATATTTGGACCATTTGCTCCATTGTAGCTTAATTAATCAGTCCTCTCCTCTGTTTTAAGGAGACTAAATCAATCAAATTTGATTTTCTTTTAACACAAATGCATGTTCATGCTGATGTTTGTTATATGAACGTGCTAATAGTCGAATTCTTTCGAAGTATAAACATAAACACTCGAAGTTAAGCACGTTAAT